CTGTATGTGTGTGTGTAATGCTTGCATATATAGTACCTAAACACATTCCCAGAACAAATTTCCTATTTTATTTGACAGAATGGTATCTTCTCTAATAAGTTTTATTACCTACAATTTTATCAATATTCAGATTTTAAAGCAATTATTTCACAAAAATGAATTATTTATCAAGAAAGTTCAATTTCCATTTGCCTAAATGCTACAGTATTATTCCGTATAATAGCAACCTTTAATGGAGACTACTACCAGAATTATAATCAAAACATTGAGAAACAGATACGAGCATACTTTTTGTAACTGCAAGGCTTATACATTTAAAAAATTATTTATAAAACATTTAATGGAATTAAAAATCACCCTCATCAAACTGCTTTAAATATAATTGTAGTTCTTCAAGTGTTCATCTCTGAATGCAATCTATGCATTCTTATTTGATTCTTCCATATCTGTGGCATTTTTTTTAAGCAGGAAATGCTTTTGTCCAATGTGTGCATGATCCTGGGGATAGTTCCTACCTTTCCTCTTAATTTCTAACCAAGCCAAGGAGAAATGTTTAGATTGCTATTAAACTGGATGCCTAAAGTGAAAAAAAATGAGAGGATCTTATGAATGCAGATGCCCAAAGAGGTACAGTTGCATGAAAAAATAAGATTTTTATTTTTTTTTGCATTCTCTCTGCCTCCAATATATAGTGGAATAGCAAATGTAGCTCATGGTAGGAGCAGATGGCAGAAGAATCCAAAAAGAACTGTTCAGCTAAAGAAGGCATTCAAACAAGCTTGAGCACTGAAATCATGATGTCTAGAAAAGGTTGAATGTTGAGATCGTGTGAAGGCCCTACTTAGAGTGTTACTTTTATGAACATTGTGAATAAAGCATTTCTAACAGTAAATTTATAGAAAATATAGTGATATAATCTATCTACTGCAATATAAGAACTTTTTAAGATCATAGCTGTTTGTAGAAAAAAGATTAAGAGAATAAGAAACTGGTTTAAATGGACTCCAACACATTTTATGCAGAAGGCAAGATTAGGTTTTCTGTCAGTGTGACTCCAAGGGGCATCTGTCTATATACAGGTAGTCTTCAACTTACGACAGACCTCCCCAAAGCTACTTATGATCCATTTTCAAAATAACGGCCGTGCATACGCCACCATGGTCACATGATCACATTTCAGGTACTTGGCAACCAGCACATATTTATCACTGTTTGCAGCATCTCACGGTCATGTGACTGCAATATGTATTTATTTATTTTTTGCTGTTTTCTAGCATTTACTTCAAGAACACCCATTGGGGGAAATTTACTGATTGATGCTTCAACCCACAACTGTAATGATTTAGAGCTCTATTACAGTAGTAACCTGAGAACTACCTGTAGCATACAATTTACCAACCCAACAGATGAGCATCAACTGCAAAATACTTGCAAGTTAGAAACTTAGCATTCATGGTAGAAAGAAGTTCAAACATACCATTACAGAGAAGGCAGCTGAAAGTACTAGAAGTTTTACTGGCAGAAATATTCAAAATCCCTTGAGAAATTGTTTTTGTGATTGATTAAGAAAACACTGAATTATGTCCACTATAGGATCTGCTACATAGATTTAAATCAAAGTATCACCTACAATATTACTTTGTTTCAATAGGTGAAGAATCAAAAAGATCAGTTACAATGAACTGTTAATAGGATTCATTCTGAGGTTTGTTATGAATAACACTGGTACATAAATTACTTCCATACTGATATTAAAAATCTTCCTAGCACCCTCTGTGAAGAACTGTGAAGAAAAACCACAATGAGAGTTGTGTAGTACAGATGGGCATTTCTGAGCAGATAAAGTTTTTCCAAAGAAAGTGTTATAAACTAGAGTTGCCTTGATCATCAATAGCTGAGCCTACAAGGCTATAAACATCCAGAAGCATTACTCGAGGGCATATTTATAGGAAAGACTCAATCCATATATCAGTGAAAGTATTTCCTAAGAGCCTTTTGTCACTGTCTGCATGGAACAAAACCTATGTCATTATGTATTTGTGGGCACACAAATGTACAGGCTGAGCTGGCAAAGAGATAGTTCAGGACAGTGTATGTTAATAAAAATTGCAAATGTATTGTCTGAAACTGTTGGATAGTATAGTTTTGAACAATGGGTATGGAAATCCCAATACTGTACTTTTCTGTGTTAATTTCTCTAGAATTGGTATGTAAAGAAGCTACATCTATTTGATTGATAGTGAGCTCAGCTTACCATCTATTATCAGTGATAATGTTCTCATCTCTTTGGTAATAAATCTTGTCTAACTCCATGAAGGCCATCTCTACAAGATGGCAGTCTTCCCCTCTATTGCAATAATTGACAAAACCAGCTAAGAAGGAAAGAACACATTGAGGCAGGATGTAGTTCTGATAAGAAGTGGTCTAGTCACCGTTGCTAAAGATTCACACAAAGTATTACAACAATACAGGTCCTGTAGCCTGACATAAGGAATCACAACTATGGAAGTGTTTGAAACTGACAGACCTGTACTTACAGAATGATTCAAAGTATCATCTTAAAAACATTATATTAAACATTAGCATGAAAAATACTGCAAAAAAGGATTTATAGGCATAACTTTACATAACAATTAACCAAAACTGAAATACTTTCAAATTTAATTAAGTCTGTTGGTTTGAAATCTGTGGAAATGTAACTAAGAATATTTTTCCCTCCTCCACTCTTGTAGTTGTCTGCTCGCCTTTAAAAGCTCCCTTTGAGACTGGAGACTATTTAATATATCTTCAAGAAAGCTGGAATGGAAGAAAAGGATTGATTCAAAACTGGGAAAAGGCACTTTTTAGAGAGATTTTTCAGGGATGGCAGAAGATAGGAGATGAGAAAGTTTGCTTTTAAAAAGTCTGCATACACCAAAATCTGTTCTCTTTACATTTACAACACATACTATTGTATTATGCAACAGTTGGTTCCTTGACAGATTACTGTTGCCATGTCTTTTTAATAGACTTGAAATCTAAAATAAACATAATTGTAAACATGTTGCCATACACCTCTACCAATATCATTCTATATAGAATTCTATTAATATAGCATTACAGAATTCTATTATTCTCAATAGGATTCATTTCTAGGTAAATACAGTAGATACAGGATTTGGGCTTAAGATGGCAACATTAAGACTATTTCAAAATATTTGAAATCTAAATTGATTCTCAACTGAATCTACATTGTTAGATTTATTTCTAAAATTAAATCTGGCAGTAAATCTATCATAATGCATTGACTTTTGAAAACTCAAAGGGTAATGCAAAAAAAGCAAGCACTCTGACAAATTTAAAAGTCAAAATACTTTCAGTGAGTATTATGTAATAAATTATAATCACAATGTGTTCTCTATAATTATAATAGTGATTTCAATTTAAGTACATTATCCAAAGTGCTAAATACTATTCTACATTATCCTTTTTATCCAGTGTTATATAGACACCAGGCACACATTCTAAAGAATATGACCAAACTACCTAATATGACCTTTGGCTTTTTAACCAGGCAAGGAAGATTAGAAGATGCTAGCACAAAATAGAACAAACACTTAAAAGAGTTATTGAACAACTCATTGTAGACCATTCATTTAATGCATAATGGATTATCAGATGAAACCTGCATGGCTAGAGGAGAAAAGAAGCAATGGCAGTAAGATAACCAGTTCCATTCAAAGTCACAGTTGCTGAATGGCTGATACCTCCAGTATGAATAGATATTCTGACACTGGCAAAATGGAAAAGGGTAGCTATTTCTCTCCCTGGAAATTTCATCTAGCACATTTCTTCACTTGTTATTACTGAGCATTTATTTCAACCCAGGAAGATAAATGAGAAAAAGTTTTTTGACAGCCATATGTACTGCAGAAGAAACAAGGATGATTACCGTATATCTTTCAGTACTATGTTTTTACAGTATAGAAATAATATAACTAGAATAAGTAGTCAATTCAGACATCATAAGAGGCAAAAGATGACAGATTGTGGATCTCTTTCAAGCCAGTGCTTTAATCATAACATAAATAGTATTTTTAATATATAAAAAGGCTAAATTAGCCTATTACTGTAATTGGTACTCTGCCATCTACAGACAGCAGTGCTGCTAACTATACAGAATGTGAGTTCATAGTACATTTTACTTGAGTATTTTGATTTTGTTAAATAATGAAATATGTGAACAGAATTATATGCATATGGTACTTTTGTGAGTTTTTATTGATACACTTGAATATAAGACATGACATTAATAGCTAGAAACAACTTAGAATGCTTATCAGATATTTTAAAAATGCCTACTTTATGGGGAAAAAATCTACCAAGTTATTAGACTGGTGCAGAAAAGAAAAGGCAATTTAAAGCACGTCCAATAGCTCATGCTGACATTTCCTTACACCTAATGTATCTTTTTCAGTTATCAGCAATAGCTATACAATCCCAGGAAAAGGTGCAACTTTTTTAAGCAGCTGTCAACAGCTGTTAACTGAAATCATTCCAAATAAACTTTCTAGCTTCAAATCCAGTTTGCCTACTATTTGATTGCAAATTAATTTAATAAAACAGCATATTTAAAGACTTTTACACATTAAATTTGCAATTTTATGAAAATATATTTTCTTTCACAAATTAAATTATATCTAGCAGATGCCATTAAATATTTCCCCAACCAGTTTTAGTTTTTCCCATGATCTAGAAAACAAATTAAAATTTGAGTTCAGAAAAAAACTGTTTATATCAATAGCTATTCTGCAAACATCTACATCTCTTTTTCATGAAATTATATTTTGATCCTAGAAAATTATATTACTAATTGTCAAAATTTTCCCAATTTAGGAACTAGGGGTACCCATTTGATCTTATTAAACTCCTGAAACTAAAAGTCACACTTTAAATGTCTGGAAATTGTGACTTCTGGTGTTAATGTTCCCTCTTTTACTATCTTATTGTTTCAACTTTACCTGTTTTCCCCATGGTTAAAAGTCTGGTCCTCCCTGTCACAATAAAAATACAAATGTTGCCTGAAAAGTTCACTCTTCTGTTTCAGTAGAATTGTTTCCTGTAAAGCAATAATACAATAGATTAGGAAGCACGCACGCGCACACACACACACACACACACACACACACACACATATATATAATATATATACACATATATAGACATATATACCTATGTCTAACTGTACAAAATTAGTAAGTTGATAAGGAATGGAATTAAAAATTAAAAAACACCTTATCTCTGTTCCTACGCTGCACATTTTTTCCAATTTTAGGGTCTTTAAATTTCAGATTTAGACATTATTTACAACAGATTTATTGAAGGATTCTTATTACTCGAGTATAAGTCGACCCGAATATAAGCCGAGGGACCTATTTTTCCACAAAGAACTGGGAAAAAATGGTGACTCGAGTATAAGCCGAGGGGGCATTTTTCAGCACACACATTTTTACGCCTGGGCTAATCGGCCTCTTTGCAACCCCACCCCTCTGGTAACCGCGCGATTGTAGCACTTTGCACAAAGGAGCAATAGTTGATAACACGCCCCACGTCAGCTGGAAGGGAAAAGCTGGGTGGGGAAGCGGGGGGGAAGAGCTCTGCCGCAGAAGTGCGGGTCGTGGGTGGGTGGGCGGCCATGCCATTCCAACCCCTCCCCCCGCATATGTATTGAAAGAGTTGCGTCTGTAATTAAACTTTGAACTCGGTAACCTGCAACGCTGTTGTCTCGCGTTTACATGTCCCAGCAATTCCTCCTCCCAAATCGCCCATCACCCCCAATTTTTTTTTATTTAAAAAAAAAGGTTCGACTTTTTATTTTTATTTTTGCTTCGAGCTTCCTCAATCTGAAAGCGGGGCTGTCAAGCCCCACAGGGCTGGCCATACACTTGCGGGGGTTGGGGGACCGCCAGCCGAACAACAACGACGCCCAGCTCATTGCCGCCGCCACCGCCACCGCCCAGCATGTTCCTGCCACCGCCGCCACCCAGCGTGTTCCTGCCGTCGCCGCAGCTGCCCAGCTCATTGCCGCCGCCGCCGCCCAGCGTGTTCCTGCCGCCGCAGCCGCCCAGCTCATTGCCGCCGCCGCAGCCGCCCAGATCATTGCCGCCGCCACCCAGCGTGTTCCTGCCGCCGCCGCAGTCGCCCAGCTCGAGTATTGACTCAAGTATAAGCCGAGGAGGGTATTTTTCAGCTCAAAAATTGGGCTGAAAAACTCGGCTTATACTCGAGTATATACGGTATTTCTAAGCATATACACACACATGCACATATATACATATAACACATACATATACACACACATACATATGCATACACAGACACAAGTAGAATTGCATTTATATTAGAATATTATAGTAATTATAAGTTCAATGCTAGCAACATTTAACATTACATAGAAGTTGACATTATTTGCTTTAGGTTTTTTTTTACTTTAGCACATATACAATATATTGTTCTTTTGATTGACATTATAAAACAGTTGCAGCAATGAAACTGTAAATCTATCGTTTTATTTACTGCACAAGTACATCCAAGATAAAAATGTAACTAGTCTTAAGTCAGATCTCTTTTAAGTCTGGGGTTCCACTTAAATAATGCCATTTATTGCCCCAACTTCCTGAAAAGTGCAATCTTGATAAATGCTTGAAGGTAATAATCCACAACATCTTTTGTGGTCTTTATATCTTGAACTAATAGTGTTCAGTAATTCTGTATATGTTACTTAGAGATTATTGCTGCTAAATTACACATAACATATTGCAAGGTAAATAGGGATATATCCTAAAATGACCCTATTGGTATTAAAATAGATACTGCCCAAAGTAAGAAATTGTCATTAATATTATGACATTAAAAAAACAGGAACAAAAAGGAATATCACAGCTTTCCAATAAGCTACAAATGAATTTAACCTTGCAACTTTTCACTTTGAACTGTACAATTCCAATTTGTTCATTATCAAACAAAGTCAAACATCAATCAATAAACTATTTTTATGTACATGGGTTAAACTCCTGCCTCTTTAACTGATTTGTAAAATGTAACGAAGCATATAATGTGCTCACAACTTGCTGAAACACTAAGGAACATACATTCACAAATAACAAGTTTTACAGAGTTCAAAGATCTAGATACAAATAAAAATGTTCTATATTATTTAATTGTGGTATAAATTATGTACTAATTTAAAAGTTTTTAAGAATTGCAAATATATGAATACATTAACAAATCTTTGTGCTCAGTCTTATAAACTTGCATAATACATTTAGAAAACTAAAATCTGACTAAATTAATCCTCATAAAATATTTGAGAATCAGCTGGAATAGTTAAAATATGAAACTTGAAATGTTTAATTTGGTCATTATGCATACTGGCATAATAAAATGAATAAGAATATTTATTCTTCATGATGGCACTAACTTTCAACTTTCACACATGGATTTTAGGGGGGGGGAATTATAAATTTTAAATATCCTTTTAATAACCTTTAAAATTGAAGTGCATTGTATACAGATTGTAATAAAAATCATTATTTCTTCTCAAAAAATGAAATTCCCTAGGATGATGTCTGATCAAATACAGGAATATTTTACACAGGAATAAAAAGAGTAAATATTAATGTAGCTATTTTTAATTTCAAAAGCTCACGTGCAAAAATGATAACATGAATACAGTAAAATATACAAATAAAAGAGAACACTTTTATATGAAATTAATTCAACAAATGAATATACATTTCAATAAAAAGAAATAAGAGCTATTGCAAAAAGCTATTGAACTCAAACAGATTTCAAAGCTATCTTACAACTGAAAGGTGATCCAAGTCATCCTCTTTATGAGCAGTCAATTTTAAACCACTTGTGTTTATCTTTCTATTGTTGCTTTTCTAGCTAGTAGCAGATTACACTTGCTCCTGTAATAAAGATTCCAGTTCAATAGTGATTATATCTCTCAAGCCACTGATGTGCTTGCTGGAAAAACATAAAAAGAATTCCAGCATTTCAGACAAGTGAGCATGTAGACAGAGACAACAAGGTTGCCAGCTAACAGAGAAACCCCATCCAAAGGCAGATGACCAGTAATCATTGCCAATAACCTATTTCAAAGTCTATGAAATTCAGCCCACAAATTCGTCCTAGAATTTTAGATCTAATGTTGAAGATTAGGAATCATTTATATATTAACTTCCTAAAGCAAAGTACAATGGACAAAAATGTACCTGCCTCATCATATATTAAAGATACAAATTTTCCAAAAATGGGGATTAATTTCTCTTCTACAAAGAGGAGTTTTCCATCTCAGATTCAATATAGAAAAAGCAGGCAACTCTTTGTTACTATAAATCATAATTACATGTCAGTGCATCTACAACATAGCATTAATTATTCATGTGGCTATTTCCTTCTCCTTCTTATTTATTCATTAAAAATCTAATACATTATCAAATATATCTCTTGGGCTTCGTTTACAAATTGCCACAATGTCACATACTAGGGCCATGTATTGCCGAGGGTATTTTTACCCTTAATTGCCAGAAGAGGGAACAATAAAAAAATGTCAACCTGAAAGTACGATTTTAATCAAATGAATCCATTTCTAATAACATAGAACAACTGTATGAACTGTTCAAAGTCTAAATTCAAGACTGCAAAATTAACAAGAAGATATTTGACCATTATTATATTTTAAAGAGTTATGTGCCTTTATATGAGTTAAATAATTGAGTCAGCTTTATAGTTTTATAAGGTAGGATATATTTTGCCTTATTCCAGATTGATAAATGATATAAAACTTGTGACTGAGGAATAAAAAGCAAAACACTAGCTAATCTGTTAATTTTAAATGTGTAATATCTTAAATTAGCCTATTACATATATCTCAGTAACATGTACATGGAGGAAGGAGTGCAGACAAGAAACTTTAATAATAGAAAAATAGGCCTTAAGTATTATTTTTAAAATGTGCCAGATTATTACTTTAATTATCAAAAGTTATCTTTCACACTGGAAGGTGAAGTGGTTTATTTAAAAAGTTGTGACAATAAATTCATCTGCAGCAGTTTACAGAAAAATCATTCTAAGCATATATTTCAAGCAAAAATATTTTGGTAATTAGAAAAATTAATGACATTGCTCTTATTTTATTTATTGATATGTAATTTTTTTAAAGTTAAAAATATGTGCACCCATAATCTTTTTTTATTCATATAATTTAGTATGGTTTACCGAGGGGCTGAGAGAGATGAAACGCCAGAAAAGACGCCTAGAGAGCAGTTGGAGGGCCACCCGAACCGAATCCGACCGAACACAGGTAAGGATACATGTTAGATCCTACCTTGTGGCAATGAGGGTGGCGAGGTCTAATTACTACTCCACCCTCATTGCGTCATCAGATAATCGCCCGGCCTCCCTCTTCAGGGTGATCCGCTCCCTCCTTCAATTGAGGGGGGGCGGGGACCCCCTGGCGGGGAAGGCTGAGGAATTTGCACAATATCTATATGACAAAGTCGCTCGGATCCGAGAGGGTTTGGACTCCGACTGGGTGGCCCCGGGGGAGGAGGCAAGGGCAGGTCTTGAGACTGTTGTATGGGAGGAGTTTGACTCTGTGGCTCCCGAGGACGTGGACAGGATCCTGGGGAGGCTGAATGCAACCACATGTTTATTGGATCCGTGCCCCTCCTGGTTGGTACTGGCAGCTCGGGAGGGAACACGAGCCTGGCTCCAGGGAATTACAAACGCTTCTTTACGGGAGGGTGCCTTCCCCGCGGTCCTAAAGGAGGCGGTGGTGAGGCCCCTCCTTAAGAAGCCCTCCCTGGACCCAGATGTATTGGCAAATTATC